GCCTGTAATCCCAGCACTTTGGGAGGCTGAGGTGGGTGGATCACCTGAGGTCAGGAGTTCAAGACCAGCCTGGCCAACATGGTGAAACCCGTCTCAACTAAAAGTACAAAAATTAGCCAGGCATGGTGGCTAGTAATCCCAGCTGTAATCCCAGCTACTCAGGAGGCTGAGGCAGGAGAATTGCTTGAACCCAGGAGGCAGAGGTTGCAGTGAGCCGATATTGCGCCATTGCACTCCAGCCTGGGCAACAAGAGCGAGACTCCGTCTCAAAAAATAAAAAAAAAAGTATGTTCGACCTTTTCCAAACTGCAATTCCCACTCCTTTTATTTAGAAGGAGGTTGTTTTCTGTTTGTTTGCTATAGCACTGTAGCTTCAAGTCCTCAGTTTCCTAAACAAAGGTACAGCATGTGATAAACTACAAAAATGGAAGATAGAAAAGGAAGGTGGAATAGAGGTTACCAGGGGCTGGGGGAAAAGAGAATGGGAAGTTAGTGTTTAGCAGGTACAGAGTTTCTGTTTGGGGTGATGAAAAGTTTTAGACATAGATAGCAGTGATGGCTGCACAACACTGTGAATGTACTTAATGTCACTGAATTGTACACTTAAATGGTACATTTTATGTATATTTTACCACACACATACAAATAGTTAAAAAGAACTAAGAGGATGAAAGAGAAAGTAGTGCAGTGCGATGGTTCACACCTGTAACCCCAGCATTTTGGGAGGCCGAGGTGGGCAAATCACCTGATGTCAGGAGTTCAGGACCAGCCTGGCCAACACGGTGAAACTTGTCTCTACTAAAAATACAAAAATTAGCTGGGCGTGGTAGCGCGTGCCTGTAAACCCAGATACTCAGGGAGGCTGAGGCACAAGAGTCCCTTGAACCCAGGAGGCGGAGGTTGCGGTGAGCCGAGATTGCACCACTACACTCCAGCCTGGGCGAGACAGCGAGACTCTTTGTCTCATAAATAAATAAATAATAATAATCAATAATAAAAGAGACAGTGGAGCGAGTGGATGATGGCCTGTATGGGCTTCCTAGAAAGAAACTGAGGGGGCTTTTTAGAAGTGAGACACATTCCTTCTCCCAAACTTAAATCCAGCACCAAGCTAGTCAGGAGCTCCAGGGAGACCCAACCAAGACAAAAGGAAAGGGGAAGTGAACCACAGTGTCTCAGCATGGAGGCTGAATGCAGAACAAGTGCTGGACAGAACAAAGGTCAGCCGAGGCACCCCAGAGAGAAGGGGGCAGGAAACTCCGGGGGTCAGGGAAGGCCGCCAAGATGAGTTTCCAACCCACCTCTGCCAACTTGAGTGTCACCCATTCCTTGATCTTTGCAGCTTTTTCTTGAACAGTTTTTGCTTCCTCTGCTCTCATCTGCTTCTGCAAGAAAGAGAGGGCCTTCTGTTAATCCCAACAGTCACCAGGAGACTGACTGACTGGAGGTGGGAGACTCCAAGAAACGTCAAGTGTGCATGCCACTGACCTTGCAAAGCCAGTGAGCAGAAATCGTTTGTTGCAATATTATTTGATAAGGTAACACAAAATTTAAAAACTTGAAACTGGAAATAGTCTAAGTGTTCACCACTAAGGGGTTGGCTGAATAAACACGGCATATCCCTGCCATGGAAGGAGAACGCTGTGCTTCCATATGCAAGCAACATTAACAGTGAGGAGTGGAAATCAAGGATTGGGGAGGGAGAGAGAGGTGACTTGTTGTTTTATAGTCCTCTGGCCACTTTTGTATTTTTTACTATAAGCATGTATGTATTACATTTATAGTTAAAAAATAAGGCGAAATTGCAGATCGCTGAGGTATTTCCATCAAAATAGTCAAAAGAGGAGATGATTGAAAAGGTTTGTATCTAAAGAGGAGCAGCCTGGCCGGGCACGGTGGCTCACGCCTGTAATCCCAGCGTCAGACGTCAGACTCTCAGTATTTCAGAGCTGGAAGGACCTTAAAGGTCATCTAGTTTAAGGTGTGGCAAACAATGGCTTTCAGGCCAAATCCAGTCCTCCATCTGCTTGCCCCCAACCAGACCTGTTTTTGTCAATAAAGTTGCACTGTAATACAGCTATGCTCATTCATTTATGTATTATCTGTGGCTGCTTCCATGTTACAACAGCAGCTTTGACCAGTTGCAACAGAGACCGGTGGTCCACAAAGCCTAAAATAGTTACTACCTGGACCTTTACAGAAAAAGTTGGCCGACCCTGACCTGGTTTGATACTGTCTTTGTAGTTCTGTGGCAACTAAGGCTATGGCAACAAATGATTTGCCTCTGTCCATTCATGGCACAGCTGGGACTAAAACCAGGTCTCTTGACTCACAAAACAGTGCCCTTTCTTTTATGATCTTGACCTACTGATTCTGATTGTAAAATGACATTTTTTCTGACCTAAGGAGCTTTAGCAAGAGTCGTTTTGTCCACTAACCCCCAGGATGCTGCCGCTTCTAACTATGAGCTACTCAGAAGAGAAGGTATGTCTAAAATCAATGGAAGAATTGGTCAGAGATTCCATGTGTCAAAATTCTATTTTTCCATCATTTTTCAGGAACACATGGTACCCCACAGCATACAAAGTCACCTCCATTAAGGGCCTATTTGATGAATGCTGATGGGTAAACATGAATCTGCCCATGATGGTTGGAAGGCACCATCAGGATCCCACATGGAGAAGGCATGTGTAGGAAATTGAAAGTCATCTGTCCAGACTGTGGGGTGTTTAGTTGGAAATGATGGCACTCTGGCACAAGGGGAAAGCTGGGTAGGTGAGGTCAGTGGCAGAGGAAAGGGACAGAACTGGGATGGAGTTGGTGAGATTGTGAAGGAGAGAAGGCAGGACACAGGAACTGGCAGGGGGACGTTCCAGAAGTCCTCTCAGGAGCAAAGGTGCCGAGTGGAGCTGAAATGCTGGGCCGTGGCCTCTCCTGGGCTTCCATGTGCTAAGGAGGGAAGACCCTGGTTTTCTGAGGAGGCAGCAACTTTGGTCTCTGCCTCTTCAGCTTCATTGAGAAACTTTGGGCAACCAGCTGGCCATGACTGACCATCCAGTTCTGCGCAGCTCTGATCATACTACAGCCAAGTATCACGTGTCTCATCTTGGCAGGGCACGACAAGGCCAGAATGGAGAAAGAAAAGCTCTCCTTACCAAGTACTGACCACGTGCCTGACGCTAGGCACAGGTCACACAGGATGCTTCTCCCAACAGCCCTATGAGGTGTTTCCACCTTCTTTTATAAATGTGTAAAATAAGAATCAGTGGCTTAAAAGCTTTGCCCACTGTCAGAAGCAGCAGGTGCTAGAGGTGGGCTTCACACCCAGGTCAGTCTGCCTCCAAGCTCCTTGTTCTACTCTATCCCCTGCTTGGCTTCTAATGAGCAGATGTGGGAGGAACAGCCCTTCCTATAATGAAATTTCCACATAAAAGAACAGGCTCAGGAGGAAGTGAGTTCACCAGCACTTGAGGGCTTGAGCAGACCAGCTCAGGAAGCTGGGGGCCAGCGGGACAGATGTCGAAGAGGGCATGGTGCTCCCTTGCGCATGAGCCCTTACCTGCTTTTCCAGCTGAGCCTCCAGCTGGCTGATGAGCTCATCTTTGCCCTTTATGGCTTTCAGCAATTCTTGGTATTTCTGGTGCAGGCTCCCCCCCGAGTCCACATTCTTCAGATTGGACAGTTTTACTTTCTCTTCCATGACACCCACCTGAAAAGTACAATGATCTCATAGTACCTCCCGTCATTCACACGGGGTGTGCAGTGGCCAGTAACGTGGGATGGGACACCCTCTGATGCCCCAGGCTGTGACTCCCAGGCAGTTTGAGACCAGCCCAGGCAACACAGCAAGACCCCATCTCTAATTAATTGGCAGTCTGAGCCAATTAATCCAATTATCATTTATAAAGCTCCAATCTGAGCAAAAGAAGGACTAACAAAGAAGAAACTCATTTTGGCTACTCTAGGTCATAGTAATGGAGAGATGGGTACGAGGAGGGCAGAGGAGACGATAAGTGGAAAAAGCAGCTGGTCTTGTGCCATTGACCTCTGTGGATCCCAGTAGGAATGAACTGAGCAGGACAAACAGCCTAGGAGAGCAACTGTCCCAACCCCACCATGGTAGGGATATTTACTGTTCACTGGACGGCCATGTGCTGCCTCATATTTCTCAACCCTCCTGCAGCTGGATGGAGCCATGTCATTGATCCAACCAATGGGGTCCAAGTGGAAATGGTGCATCATTTCTGGACTCAAGTATGTATGTATGTATATATTTATTTATTTAAAAATTTTTTAAAACAGACAGGATCTTGCTATATTGCCCAGGCTAGATTCAAACTCCTGAGCTCAAGGGATCCTCTAGCCTCAACCTCCCAAGTAGCTGGGACCATAGGTGCATACTGCTGCACCTGGCTGGGCTGAAGTATTTAAAAGCTAGTGCAGGGTGAGTGTGGTGGCTCACACCTATAATCCCAGCACTTTGGGAGGTTGATGCAGGAGGATTGCTTGAACCCAGGAGTTCAGACCAGCCTGGGCAAATAGTGAGACCCTGTCTCTAGAAATAAATAAATAAATAAATAAATAAGGTCAGGTGCATGGCTCACGCCTGTAATCCCAGCACTTTGGGAGGCTGAGGTGGGTGGATAGCTTGAGCCCAGCAGTTTGAGACCAGCCTGGGCAACACAGCAAGACCCCATCTCTAATAAAAAATAAAAATACATAAATTTTAAAAATAAGTAAAAGCTAGTGCACAGACATCCAGCTTTCTTTCTTTGCCATGGCAACCAAGAAGGCTGTGTATTCCAAGTGGTCCAGCTGTAAGGTAGGCAAGCTTCCTTTAACCTGGATTCCTGAGTGACTGTGGAAGCGGAATCACTGGCTAACCCTCAATGGACAGGTTCCATGAGTGAGAACTAAATGTGATAAACCACTGAGACTTCAGACTTAATTTGTTACCATAGCATAGTCCAGCCTATTTGGAATACTATTCCCAGTTGCTATATGGATCTTTACCCAAAGACTCCATTCCCACAGAAAGCTCCATGCACACTCATTGGTTCAGGTATAATACAGCACTGCTGGTGATGTGTGTGTCCACCTGTGTCCATGGGAAGGGCCTGGAAGGGCCGACAGTCAATCCCCTGCATATTGCCGCCAGTCCCCTCCCCTGGTTACCTGGGTCTCGGCATTCTCTGCTCTCTGCTCTGCCTCCAGCAGCCTCTGCTCCAGCTCCTGCATCTGCTCGGCCAGAGAGAAAGGGGAGATGTAGGTGCCATGTCCCTACTATGAACATGGCATCAAGGCCACTTTAGAGAATTGTGCACACACTGCACACAGGCCAGGTTTCAAGTGCCCATCTCAAGTGGCTCGAGAGTGTCAGGGTAAAGATTTTCAAGGCAACTCTCAGTTCCCTAATCCTGAGTTCATGGGGCAGGTGAAGAGCCCGTGGCTGCTGTCCCCTCTGCTGAGGGAGTGGAGGCCCAGCTCTTTTGTCCTGATGGAGGGTGTCCGAGGAGGGCAGCAGCTCCACTGTCATTCTTTCTGAGCATCCCGCCCTGTCCTGGCTTCAGTCTCCCCTTCCCGAGGCCCCTGTCCTCTCAGCATTGGGTCGAAGGCAGGGCCATGCTGCTGCTCCCATAGGGCCCACCCTGTGTCATCAATAGAGAACGTTTCTCCCCACTCAGAATATCTCTGGCTGGGGACGAATACCTCCTCACCCACAGTTGAGGACACCTCTGCCTGTAAGGGCTTCAGGGCTATCACCTTATTTGATTTCTTTAATCTTAAAGAACTAGAAAGACAAAAAGAGGCTTAAGATACATTTTTCAAAATTCTATCTTGTGAGCTGGGCACAGTGGCTCACGTCTGTAATCCCAGCAATTTGGGGGCCTAAGGCGGGAAGATCACTTGAGCTCCGGAGTTTGAGACCAGCCTAGGCAACATAGCAAGACCTCGTCTCTACTAAAATTTTTCTTCTCTAATTAGCTGGGCGTGGTGGCATGCACCTGTAGTCCCAGCTACTCGGGAGGCTGAGGCAGGCAGATCACTTGAGCCCGGGAGGTTGAGGCTGTAGTGAGCTGACATGGCACCATTGCACTCCAGCCTGGGCGACAGAGCAAGGTCCTGTCTCAAAAAAAAAAAAAAATTTAATAAACATAAAAATTTTGTCTTGCTGCCAGTAGAGGTGTGTCACTCAGGCCTGAGGAGCATGGAAATTCTGGAAATTACACCAAGTGGGCCAAGCAAAGGGACCGAAGTTCTTGTACGTGGAGGCTCTTCAGGTACCAGATCTAAGCTAAAGACTAAAGAGCTGCGCACGAGCCCACAGCCTACACGGCATCTCTTTGCAGCTTCTCAAGCTCATGGCTTGGTAAGTGAAGTGTGCGTTGGATGTCAGCTCCCATTCTCCCCCTGCCAGGGCACCACTGTCTGTTGCCCAACTGTACACCATCACATGGAGGACCCACAGAAGCAGAGCAAATTCATGCATCCCGCTCTCATGTCTAACACCATGTGCCACAGCCTAGCTGGGACCGCTACTTCCCTTCCCAGCCTGCCTTGCCCCAGAGTAACACATATGCTTCATACATGTCCCAGAGGCGTTGCATCCCAGCCGCGCCTTCCACGAGGCTGGACAGGCCCAGTGTCCCTCACTTCCCAAGCTTCAGCCCAACCTCCTCTCTAAGGATTTGGCCTCTTCTCTGGCTATTCAACCTTCTCCCCTCAGCCTGGACCCTAGCTGATATTTACCAGTGAACTGATCAATCCTTCTCTCTTTTCCAGTCTCTCAGCTGAAATTCTGCTTTCCTTAATTAAAAGGTGGATGAGCGGGATCCCTCAGCCTGCTGCTAGACAGTGAGAGAAAAGTTACACGGGAACAGGAGTTCATGTTTGGGAACCAGGGGGACCTCTTTGCTCAGAGTGGCCTTCCCTCATCCATTGTTTCCTCCTTCCTGGGACTGGGGAGACACTGATGCTTTCAGGGCACATTCCCTTGGACACCAGAGAGTTAGAGTTATGCTTATCTGAAGATCCCAAGTAAAACTCAAGACTTAAACCCATGGGACAAAAATGCCCCAGTGCTCCCATGGATAGGGCCCGCTCTGACAGGCATTCACGTGTTCAAGCCAAGGATGCCCCCACCCCTTCTTTCCTTCCTCTCTTAGGGTAACACTAGTCAAACCTCTCGATGGAAGCTGAGTGAGTGGGTTGGTTCTGGTCAGTTTCGGGCATCGATGTGAGCCAGATGGACTGTCCTAAGTCAAACAGTCCTCAGGCTTGTCCCAGAGGAGTTCCTTGACCTTCACACAGTTGCCATGCAGCCACGGGGCAGATAACAGCACAGCATAAATCAATATTATGGTTATAGCGGTGGTTGTCCAGTGCAAAAGGAATTCTACTTGGTGGTGGGGGGTTGGTTGATACATAGTGGTGGTCCCCAGTGTTGGTACCGCATAACCCTTCCCTCTTCGACACCAGACCTAACTGGGCCAGCCAGGTTCTCTCTCTCCAGGAATCTGGAATCAAGAGATCAGAGGCTGGAACCAGGGAGCTGCCCTGGAGAAGGGGCACAAACCTCACCAAGTCATGGTTGCTGGATAGTTCCTTTCGTTTTGTGAGCTGCCCCAGGATCCTTCTAATAAATCCCATTTGCTTAAGCTAGCCAGAGTTGAGTTTTTGGGTGTTTTTTTTTTTTGTTTTTTGTTTTTTGTTTTTTGTTTTTTACCAGAAATAATCTAGTGAATGCAGTGATTAGGAGCATTTTCTTTTTCAAGAATAAAATGAAATACTGAATGGGAAGGCCCTGGACCCTCAATAAGTTTCCTAGGTTGAACTTCAGCAGGACTATTAAGACCTAACTAGTCTGCTCTGTAGCTTAGAAGAAGGCATAGGCTTTCCATTGAAAATGATAATTCATATTTGTGACATTCTGCAACGATTGGCTGATATTTTCTAACTTCATCTGATGGAAAAATTTGTCTTGCTCTTTTGCAAATGGAGACCAAGGTGGAGTAAAGGATAAACTTGGGTCTTACCTCCCATGGAGGCATTTCCATTTGGGTCAAGAGTGATAAGTCAATGACATTGGTCAGAACCAGAAATCGCTCTGTTATTGACAACACAGCGAGCATTTTTCCCCTCCAGATTTTATTATCTATCCCATGCGCATGCTATTACTGAAGTAGATGGAATGGCAAGGTACCTTTCAGAGCCTGGGGTCTCCCTTGGGGTATCCTCCCAGCCCTGGGTCACCCTCTGTCACTGCCAGGTGGTCCTCATTACTACCGATCCTCCCAGTCCTTGTGTCCTGGCAAGGACACTTGACAGTCAAAGCATTTCATATTCACTTTTATGCTGGAGTATTCTTTTTTCTCTGAAACTATTGTCTGAACACTTTAGCTCCAGCATCAACACTTTTCACGAGGGCAGAACTTTCTTCTTCACCCTTGCTTAAAGGGCCACACCTGGAGCTCTGCAAAGCTGGTGCTATAGGTGGGCACCCTTATTTGGCTGTTCCAGGGTTCTCTAGGACCATGTCCTCAGCTGTCCTTTCAGTGTGTGGGTCTGGGGTAACGCACCAGCCAAGGAGGTGTCAGGTTTAGGTGGCTGACAGGGATCTACTTTCACCAGCTGCACATAAGACTCATAAGCTGCCCTAGAACTGGCTGCAGCAACCTGATGAAGTGCACTTGGCACCAATCTGGCATTTAACCCCCAAGTGTGCAGTTCCTTGTCACACGCTGTGAGGTGCTGTGAAATATCAGCCCACTGTGGCAGGAGCACCTGGGACTCTCCTGTACTCCCAGCACAGTCCTGCCATGCCAAGCAGTGGCCTGAGCCAAGAGCCACACCATCCTGGGTCTCAATGATCCCTTTGAGAAAAGGGTTCAACATTCTTTTTTTTTTTAGACATAATCTCGTTGTGTATCCCAGGCTGGAGTGGCCGATCTCAGCTCACTGTAATCTCCACTTCCCAGGTTCAAGCGATTCTCGTGCCTCAGCCTCCCAAGTAGCTGGGATTACAGACGTGCACTACCATGCCTGGCTAATTTTTGTATTTTTAGTAGAGATGGGGTTTCTCCATGCTGGTCAGGCTGGTCTCGAACTCCTGGCCTCATGTGATTCACCTGCCTCAGCCTCCCCAAGTGCTGGGATTACAGGCATGAGAGGTTCAACATTATTACCACTGCTTTGCACCCACGGGAGAGAACAGCACACCTAAGAGGTAAGGCTCTGGAACTTGACTGACTCCACCACAGTGTGGCTTTAGAAAATTCCTTAACCTCTCTGTGCCTCAGTTTCCTCATCAGTAAAAAAAATAAATAATAATAATATGAATAATGACACCTCCTAGGATCGCTGTGAAGATTCCACACACCGCCCCACGTAAAGCACATGTACATGGCCTGGCATTCGGAAGTTTATTGGTAAAAGCTACTTGTTGGTTTTTTCCTGTACAAAGATGGCACTTAGGAGCAGGGAGACCAGTTTGGCCAGGACAGTGTGATGCTCACCTGTTGTCTCAGCATGACTAGTAATAGAGCCCCCTTTCACTTTCTCTCCAGAGTGATAGATTTAGGTGATAGATTGTATGATCGGACTACTTACGGTTCACCTACAGAAAGAATGGGTTTAAGCCAGAGGTTGCCCACTATTAATTTAAAGAGTGTCCTATAAGACCTACACTGTGCTGTGGGCATTTAGCTTATATGTATATAGCTAAACAGGGCCACCTGGTCTGTGTAGGGCTGTGTGTATATACACGTAGGACATTTAGGCTACACTTATGTAGCTAAACAGGGCCACTGTCATAAGCACTGTACATGCGTTAACTCATTTATATTTCATAACAACCCCAGAAGGCAGGTACTATTAGTATCCCTATTGTGTGGATCAGGAAGCTAAAACAGAGAGGTAAGGTAACTTGCCTAAGGTCACACAGCTACTAAGATTCAAAGCCAGAATTCAAACGCAAGTAGACTGGCTCCAGAGTCCGTGCTGTCAGCCACTATACTACACTGCCTCTCACATCCAAATCTCACATGTCACATAAAAATCCAGATTCCATATACATCTTGATTTCCACCTTCTCTTAAAAAATCAAAAGATCTGGCCACACTAGCATTATATTTTCTATTTTCTATAGCAGTAAGTGGCTTCAGCCCTTCCCCTCACATTTTCCCAGAACCTCTCGCTCTCTTCATTGTCTCATCTGTCTAAATTAACTGCAAATATTT